CAACTGCGTCTACAATCCTGCCAATAAAAGCCGCCATATAGTCTAATTTTACCTATGACACGTGCCGAAAATATTAAAGCTAGGTAATTCAAAATTGATACCTATTGAATAAATTTTTTGAGAACCAACTTTGTAAAAGCATTGCTAAATGTCGACTAGGTTTGTCGCCATTCGGCAACTTCAATGGATATGGAATAATCGAGTTTTACACACGCATCGTAAAACTAAGCAAACCGTGCTTTGGCTAGAAAAAGGTATATTTGTCTTCGACTGGACTACAGGTAAAGTGATTTGCATAATGCCCCCCACGACGAGTTTCGCTTATTAAAATATTTTATTATAGTGTATGAGTAGATAAGTCGTACAAAAAATATAACAGCCGCTGTGTCTATCTATAACGCGAAGAAGTGCATACTTACAATGACCGATCGGTTAGGATTAATTTATGAATTACCTATACATACTACCTAGGTACTTAGATCACATTTTATTTTGTATCAATTTCTTAGTACATTTGGGATTTTTTTTGAACTATTTTATTCTTTGATAAAATTGAATATCAACTAGGTAACTTAGGTATCTACTTATCTCTGAAGCTATGTCTAATAAAGACATAGTTCTATACGTACCTACCTTATTATAAGTCTACTTACCAAGTATGGTAGTTAGTTGAATTGAACATTTTTGAATTCTATTCTAACTTATCTCTATGTTACGTTCTTTATTAGTTTAACTTGTTTTAATTTTATTGAAGCTACATAGTACGTTATCTTGCTGGTATGTAGTCGTACAGGTATTTGGTCTACGAAAAAGAATGTTTGTCCAAACGGTTTAACACCAATAAACTGTATTTTTTACCAAATCCAATATTTAAATGTTTCGGATACAAAGTCAAATAAACGCTTGAAATTAGATTCAAATAGAAACGTAGACCGCTGGCCGAGGCGAGCTCGTCGTAAAGCTTGTTTGAGTAAGACGAACGCTTGGCGAGCGTATTGATCCTTCCAATAATTATTGAACACGTTTCATGTCACCATGTTTAAGAACATGTTCAAACAAAAGTGGACGAGTGTGGCGGATACGGCGACGACTCTTGTTTGTAAGTTTACGTACATAATCGTAAAGTAGAGGCAGGCAGTAGGTAGAGCTAACAGAAAACGCGAGTCGGAACAACGCTCGCTGCCGCACTATATGGGGCTGTAATTTTTATATTTTAAGGTTCTGTACATTTTATAACATCTGTACGTTTAAAATTTATAATAACTTAAAAAAATCAAAATCAATTACGCCTATCCTGTCAGGATTTTAAACATTACCTACGTTTAGAAACTTAAAAGTTAAAACCTTTGAATTTAGTAACATGTTACATGAAAAGATGTGGAACATAAAAAGATTGAGATGATAAATACGTATAAGTACGTTTTTTTTCGAGAAATTAATAATAATTTTATTTACCTATTTTGATAGAAAGTAAAATATATTTGAATTGCTTTTTTCCAAAATTACTTTTCAATGAGGAACCCTAAAGTATACCTACGTTATGTAGGTAGGTGTACATCTGGGCTAGTAAAATGTCCAACGTACGTAAGTAAATGTTGATTTTCTTTCTATATGTTAATTTTAGCACTGTAATATTTATTAGTAGTGTGTTAAATATTAACAACTTGGTGAATATTTGGTAGAAAATAATGTCTATTTAGGGTAATATAATACTTTATTAGCAGCTGCAGGTTTGAAATACGAATTTTTCAGTTAGCTATGAAAACAAAATTTTCCAAAATTTAAAACGATGAAACTGCATTAAAACCGCACCTTATTAACGTGTAGGTGATAAAAAATGTAGCATTTCATTTTTACAAACAATGATGCGAGTGACTGATGATCGAGTAACTTTACATAAGTTGCATGCTCGGGTAGATAAAAATTTAGTGAGAGCATAAAAATTTGTGAGTGCCAACGGTATATTGTACGCTATCGCTAAACTCACCATATCAGTCGGCTCTCGGCTCAGATTTATTTTTATAATCCTTGGACACCAATTAAACGTGGTCGCCGACGTGATCTCGTAGGTCATAAATGACGGCCATTCAACAATCCACGGAAGCCAGATATGGCACGAGATGACGAGACTAAATAGTATTTACGCCGAGGTGTTAATTTCAGGAGGTTAGAGTAGCGTGAATTTTATTTATATGAAAAGTTAATTCATGCCCTGCTAGCACGTAGTGTGTAAACGGTGGAGTTAGCATGGGGCTCCGAACAAACAAGCCGCGAAGAACGCGCGGGCGCGGCCGATGCCTGCGACCGAGACACTTTTTATAATTCGGTATACAATTACCTAGTACTTCGCACACTATTCACCAGCGACTGGATCTTTTAGATCTATTTATTAGTATTTTCTACTTTCTTTCGTCTATTATTAAAAACTAGCTGTGCCCGCGACTTCGTACGCGTGAAAACCCGTTTTCGCAACATTTTTCATTATTGCTCTGCTCCTATTGATCGTAGCGTGATGTTGTATAGCCTACTATAGCCTTCCTCGATAAATGGGCTATCTAACACTGAAAGAACTTTTCAAATCGGACCAGTAGTTCCGGAGATTAGCGCGTTCAAGTAAACAAACAATTTATAATATTAGTATAGATAAGACATGTTTAGATTGCCTTACATAAGAATTACTTATTTTCTAAAGCTTTTAGCTTAGCTTAGAAAACTTAAAATAAAGCCCAGTGATCCGGATGATAGACATGAGAATGTAAGTGTAAGTATCAGCTTATTAGAACCATAATAGAACTGTAGTTATGAATGTGCCATACATCAAAAGTACAAATATTCCAAAAAGCTTTTGGAGTTTTAAGCAAGATCTAAAAAGGATTTTTGTTCAAACAAGTGGACAGGATATATAGTTCAGTAGTTTCTAAGAAGGGACTGAGTTTAAATAGTCGCAGTTTGTCGACTTAAAAGGCTTTTCTATCGCCCGCCTCTCCTGTGTGGGGGTATGTTTCAATGAATATCTGAGAATTTGCATAAGTTTTCTTGTAGATTAACATTAGCTGTTTTAAATGATAGTCTAGTCTAGTACATTGAAAAAAGCTATGCAATGTAATATTATTATGTACCTTACTCGTAGGTATAACGATCAGTGTTTGATATTATCAAGAACTTTCAAATAATATAACGCCACATATTTCGGTTTTTATCCCCCCACAATTTAAATGTCTAATTAAGTATAAGTGCATGATTATTTGTTACAATTATACGATATGTATTGTTTTAAAACAGATAGAGGCATATTAATTATATCCGTTGCCTGGAACATTTTCATAGTAAATAGTACTTCGATACCTACAAGAGCATTGCTATTGCATAAGCTTTATTAACCCTAGAAGCTTACCTAAGCTTACCCACCTAATAGATGTGAATTTAGCTATTAATTCCTCAGTTTGACTTATTATCATACAATTATTAAAATAATGGGCATTCAAAATATTTTTATTCAAGGTATACCTAACGCTCGCTATGGGAGTTCATTTGGACGAGGTAAAATACTGACAGGGTACCTAGAGTGCACTCATTGTACCGATCGGTTATAACGGTCGAGTCGATGTTTAAAAATGAAACATTTCTGTGGAGAGCGTTGAGCCCGCCGTTGTTTGAGGTTTCCTTAACCAATTAGCACCCGCGCGGACCGTAACTGGGTGAGGTGAGGCGGCGCTGGAATGCTGGCTAGCTCTCCTCCGGTGGTGCATCATCCTGCCTATATCGACTGGCTTTTATTATTCAAGAAACACACAAGCAGAAAAGTATTTGTTTTTCAGAACTCATTTTGATAAAACAGCGATGGCAATTCCGTGTCTCTTCATTTAGAGTAGGCGCACACCGTTGATTTTTCGTCGGCCGATAGTTTAGTCGGGCAGTTGATCAGTATGGGCATGTATGGGAGTGCGCACACTACGCCGATTCGATTTGGCCGATTTTTCATACAAATTAAAATCGGGCACAACTATCGGCCAAATATAATCAACGGTGTGCGCCTACACTTAGTCATAAAAATTTTAAAAAAGTTAAAAGTTTTTATACTTTTAAAACTTTAATTATTAATCGTAGTTTTGTTCTTACCTCGCGTAACTTGATTAGGAAATAAAGGTCAAAGATATGTGCTAACTTTCAGAATACCATAACATCCCTAATGTTTGCATCTCAAACCCCCTAACAACAAATAATGTTAAAAAATAGGAGTTGAAATAATTTCTAGATTGTATATGTACCATTCTATTACTAATGCACCAAATTAAAACAAGCAGCATAACCAGAAAACAGTACACCGGTACTACATAATTAATTATTATTTTATATTTGCTACGACAAAAAACGTAACGCGTAGATGTCTTTTGTATGGAAAGTAGCTGCGTTACGAGGGACAATTTTTGGGTGCCTATTCTAAATATTTTTCGATATCTTTTTAAGACAAAATTATGACATAGAAAGGATATTTACATGCAAATTATTCATTATTTGTTACAAATAATATCTTTTAAAGCCATATCAATTAAAATAAAAAAATATATTAAAAGTCCTTCAAAAAATGTTGTGCAAAATCTAATAAACCAAAAACAGTAACAAGTAAAGAACTATAAAATGTACCTAGTCAGATCTATAAAAAAGTGGAAGAAATCAAGAGCATTTCTAAAAGAAACGCCTCAAAAAGCTGCGCAGGAGTCCGTCGACAGAGCGTGCCGTCTGCTACCAATCAGTTTATTTGTCAATATGGTAGAGGCGGGGCTTCGGTTGACTAACGTATTCAAACCACCCGTTCTCAAGAAGGCTTTAGAGCAGTCTTCATAAGATCGATTTTCCGTTATCTTTACTATAGGACCTGCTTTGAATCGCCAATGAAATGTGATTCTTATGAACAAAATTTAAGACTGAATTTAGTGAATGAGGAGAAGGTATACATGCTAATGAAGTGTAGTGCGGTCGAGTTTGCGGTAGTTGCTCACGGAGTTGGCACGCAAGCACTGATTTGTGATGTGACAAACAGGGGTGCCCAATTTCAGATAATATTTGGCCATTAACTTTATTGACTCATAATAATTAATCAAACATGAACTGTTTGTAACAAGTTTTATAACACGACAGTGAGAAACGTGCAGTGAATTAAATACTTTAGATTGTTAAATGTGCTTGTGAAAGTGGATAAAATTGTGGACAAATCGAATCCTGAAGATAGGTAAGTTTTGTAAAATAGAAAATATTTTTTTCACTATATTATGTCCATACAGTTCCCTGCAGCAGTTCTGAATCACACGTCTCATGTGATCTAGATGTCAAAACTATAGTACATTATAATTACAAATAGTACTTATTTATCTGTTAATGTTATTTAATTTTTAACTACTTTTGTATGTAGGTACAATGAGACTAATTGCTAATACATCTTCCATGCATGTTATGTTATTATTATTTTAAAGGTTTAGAAAGAAAGAGAGAAAAATTGTTTATTTCGTTCAAACATAGTAAACATTGTTTACTTAGATTATCGTGAACTATAAAATGTACCTAGCTTTACCTACCTACCTACCTACCTTTGTGCATAGACACTACAGATCCCTACTTATCTTTTGTAAGATTTTCATCCAGATCCTATTAAAGTTTTAAGGATATTTAAGTAAGTTCCAGTTCTAGGGATATGCTTAATTTCACACTAGCTTGCACATCTAGCTATCACGTCCATGAGATACCTACAGCCTCACAGCCTGGTGACAGACAAACAAACATTGGAGTCTTCTTACTCTTTGGGTACGGAACTCTAAAAAGGTGTAAAAGTTTATTGAAACAAAAAGGGTTTATTCTACTGTTCTAATGCAACATGCAACCACTTTTCCTACAGGATCAATGGACGAAGTTGGCAAATCAAATTCCCAAAAAAATTACGAGTACATCCCCTAAATAACTGATTTGATAATTTGTATGGAATGGAAAACTTTATTTTAAACTAGCTTTTGCCCGCGGCTTCACCCGCGTGAAATTTAGTGTCACAAATCGGCATAAATTATAGCCTATATGTTAATCTGGGTTATAAACAATTAGTATTATAACTGCAAAGTTTCAACAAAAACCGTTCAGTAGTTTTTGCATGAAAGAGTTACAAACATCCAGACATCCATACAAACTATCGCCTTTATAATATTGGTAGGATAGGATAGTAGGATATTTGAACTTCGGTCTCTTGGGAAAAGTTGTTGCATTTGAGCAATAGAATCTGTCTACCCTTTTTGTTTGATCAAGTACAAAACTAAAATGAATATAAATTGTAGGATTACGAAGATAAAAAAAGAAAACTTAAGTGGTATATTAAAATCCTATTAACAAACCATAGCGCTGATATTTTTTATGCAGATCAAAGAAGAAGTTGCAACTGCAATCGCACCTGATGTTCATGTAAGTGAGAATACAGTCTAGGATGGTTCATACCTGCCCTGTAAGTGCCTATTCACTCTCGCCTTAAAGCCTATACACACACACTTACCTAGATATCGAATAATGAGTAATTATGATAACTTACAACCAACTCTTAATACAAAATATTGTGGGCCGTTAATGCAGAAATACTCTTATGGTGTAATATCATAAAACTAGCTTAGCTTTCAGTCGGTACAATGTTGTTCTCTTTCAACGAACAAACAACAACAAGCCAAAGTTTACGACCATAAAAGTTAGTTGAAATAAAATGAACATGTACACTTTGTTAAACCGTAAATGACCGAGCTGGTATTTAAATTTGATAAAACGAGGCCAGCCAAACCTTTAAGTTAATATTGGCCTACCTTTAAGATTTAAGATTGGCGTCATAAAACGTAAGACAAATTGATTAAAATTAATTTAAGTGAACATACACAAGTACCGCGAAATAGAGACACATAATTTTAGGTCTTTTGCACTCAATATTTTCACCATCATAAGAAATTATGCTATAGGTAAACCCCCTTATACACCGCATTTCTTGGTTAAACTTGTTTCATTGATAATTACAACTGAACCCTTGATAGATTACTTAGTTTAAAAAATTAGATTGTCAGATGATAACTTGCATATCTTACTGTTATGTTTAGGTAACATTATAATTGTTAGGTACATTATAACTTCGTCCACACAGCAGGTAATTTAGTAATTTCTACTTATCCCAATGGCTTAGTACATGTATGTTAAGGACATTATACGAAATAATAAATCAAACCTGAAATTTACTTTTCATGTCTTATTCTACTGGCCTATAAGCGATTTGTTTGATGCATAATGCGGTGCGTTTTTGAGAGCTGCGTAGTAAAAGTGGAAAAGACGCTTTTAGAACATTAAAAAACAGCAAGAGTAAAGAAAAACCAAATTGTTATGAATTGAAGGAAATGTTGGTTCATGATGGTCAAAAAGTTTATTGAGCTTTAGGTAAAAAGCTTACTTTGCTTTTACATCTTTAAAAGATGATCTGGTGATATGAAGATATTATTATGAAAAAAAATTGACTTTTTCGGGCATGAGTCAAACAGAGCCAAAGGCTCATTATGGAGAGAAAATTCATTATTCTTATCTTCAGAGTGCAGTAGTTTAGACTATAGACAACTTAGTGCTAACATTAGAGCCGAATGCGAAATTTTTGCAGCAGTATGAGCTTTCGACATTTACCAATCTGCCACTGAAGATTTCAAAAAAGTCTTGGATAAATTACACACCCGCGGCTTACGTGACAGTCAGTGGCAGTGGCGCGGATTGTTACACACCGCTGAAATAAAATTGCATTGTAAATAAATACATATTCACACAAAAAGCCTATGTAAATTGTTTCCTTTTTACATTATTTATTTAAAACTTAAGCAAATAAAACATAAGGCAGACGTAATGCGACTATATTGTTTTGTAGCAAAAACCTACGACCCTTAAATTCTACGATTAAAAAATTTTGAAGAGCGTATTGATATTGGCTGTTATAATACAATTTTATTAATTGCGTTGTCCAAAGAAGAAACCGAAGAAAGTAAATTAATGACTGAAGAAAATTAATTTATGCCTGAAAACTGTCTTACTAAACTAATCCACTTTGGATAAAATTTAAAATGTCGTTTAGTTTAATCGCGGACTTTGAATTCACGAAAAATTGTAGCCCATATGAATTTTATTACTTTAAACTTCGCATTCATCGCAAATGGCAGTGACCCGAGTTCGGCAATAAATTAGTAAAAAATGTATGATAACTCGTAGTTTAAAAATGTCGTAAAATGTGCAAAGTATTTTTTCAGGTTCAATTTTCATTCAATTATATCAAAACACGGTTATCCTTCTATCTGTCTGAAGAAGATTAAGCAAAATACATTTTTTTTAAATATTTTAGACAACTACGAGCTAGACTTTATTCAATTTACTATAAATTGTAAAGTTCTAGATTAATTAAAAAAGATTGATTAATCACGAAAGTTAATGACAATCTATGACGATAGACGGACTTTGTCAGTCAGTTACTTTTTCACTTAAAACTAAATAGAAACCTACTGGATGTTAAATAGCATAATACAAAGAGAATTTACAATCTAAATAAAATTGGTTGGGCTTTTTATCAAAATCTTAGTGAATAAACTCGCAGGTAAAAGTTAGTATTATTAGGTAGATACGAATTGTGGCAATAATTTTTGATTGGACTTAAATTAAAAATAGCTTTGGCCAGGTGGTCAGCGAATCGCACGCGCAGTGCCGCAGTAAAATAAAATAAATGTATCACACGTAGGCGCGACTATACCGATCATGTGAAGAAATCCTCATTCTAATTAAGTCGGCTGCGGCTGTACTGAAGCGGGTGAATAACTACCTAAGTAGTTAATCGTATTAATTAATATGAAATTGGGATCCACAGTGACATTATTGTTTCAGGTGCATGGTTTTTCCTTTATTTCAATGTATATGTAATACAAAGTTTAAGGCAAAGCAAGTAAAATTATTGGATAGGTGTAAATAATAAATATTACGATGTTAATCAGTATCTAGTATCTAGAAAGAATAAGAAAAGTCTAGGAAAGCTAGCAACGTAGAACTCTTTAAATACCGGAAGTCTTGATACTTCTTTACCATGTATTAATTTGAAATTTTCATGAATATGCGGTCAATATTTGTGTAGCAAAGTAGGTACCTACCATCGATTCTTTAAATTAATTAATTAATGTTGATTTGTTGATGAGGCAATGTGTTATTAAACGGTCATCATAGGTTTATACCATACGTGCATACGAACCGCATAATTAATTTGAATTTAAAACTTGGTATGTAGTCTACTTTTATAAACTTATTTAATAACTTTGTCTTAACTGGACGTTATGAAATAGTTATTATTGATAGCACGACATAAGTAATTTAATAAGTACATTTTGATACAAAATCATACATAATAATGACATGCTCAACCTTTATTAGAGGCGTGACTGTGGGATGACGTCATCGCAAAAGCATTTTTCTATGGATCCATGTAAATAAGTGTTTACCAATAATCTAGGCAATATGCGATATGGTACAGCGACCCACAATAACTGCAAGGGATTAGTGAGTGTTCGGACAAAGCGTCGCCGGCGCAGGTTCCGCGCCGAGTGCGCATCGGCCGCGTCCGGTTCGCCACAAAGCCCTACAATAAACTTTTACAGCTCACATAAAACCCTGACTTTTTAACCCAAGTTATTTGAATTAATATCAATTCGGAGTTTCTCAATGGGCTTTACTCGTCGAACTTTAAAGTTTTATGACAACCACAGAATTGAGGAATAAAATTTAATTGAAATGTAGCCCCAAAGAACTTTGATTGCGGTTATCAGCTTCCGAATTTGAATATTTACATTGATATTAAAACCCTTGCCACCTAGTCGATTTATAAAATCTATCAAAAGCCGACAGGAGTTAATTGCCTTTGGAATTATTTTTTTAGACAATACCATCTTGTGAAATAGTACTATAATTCGAATTTGACTATAAATTAGTCACACGATTTAGGGAAACTTTCATTCGGATATTCTTAAGTGAGAGAAGTGGCCAGTACCTAATGAATAGAGATGGATCCATGGTAGATATGTATAAAAGGTAGTTCAAGGTTGTAAATTGCTCAAACTTAAGTAGTTTCTGAATTTTATGAAAAATTGAAACAAAAGCAACTTGTGAGCTTCGCGACAGTAGAGACGTAGAAAAGATAAAAGATCCCGAAGCTGCGTCGTTGGTTCGTTCGTTCGTGGCTCCTAGTAAAAATATAATTGTGTGGGCTTTGCAAATGATACCTACTTATACATATTCGTGTAGTTTTCCGCGAAGTTTCCAAGTTAATCGATGTAAGTAGGTAATCAGAATAAATAGTGGCTGGAATATCAATTTTTACGAGAGGCCGAATCTTATAGATCGTCCAGCGTTATTTGTTTTTAGTCTATTGTTTGATTAACATATCAAGGCTGACGTTGAATACATGCCAAGTGATAATGAAAATTCAAGTTTGAAACAACGATGACGCAAGACCATTAAAAATACTTACTTGAGTTTTCGGCATCGTTCCATTTGCATAGCCTTCTTGGCCTTCATTACGCAGCCATTCCGCAAACTTTGAAATTGGAAAAGACAACACTGGTTGTATTGTTTCAATGGTTTCAATATCGGGTTGGTCGGTCTTGCATCTGATCATTAGCACCTCTCGGCTCGCATCGGCCGCGCGCGCGGGAATTGTCCAATATGCCCAGCCATGCGCTGGCTCGGTAGACATAATGCTTACATTTATCAAGCGAACGTCATAAACCTCCAATCACCCGGGTCCCATTCGTGGCAGTCGTCAGAGGCACTTGTTGTTATCTTTGATATTTTATAGGGATCTGTAAAACGTCGGCACTGCACAGCGATTAAGCGACATTCCTCGACCAGGGATCGATTTGAGTTACCTCAAGTGAACCTTGCTCATCACAAGGGTTACCGCGCGGCGATAGATAAAGGACGCCATTACCGGCGCATAATTAAAAGGCAAGAACTATTTACAATGTGTCGGCTGGCACGCTTCGTTTATTTTGTAGCGAGCCTCAATCGATGCCAAGTTAGATCTGAAACCGGGGCCCACACTCGCACATCATATTTAACCTCGCTATTAAAAAGAAAATGTTCGCAATTCATCTATACGACTTAAGTTTAATATTTATACCTCATGGAGTCGTAAAACGATGAATAATGACGTTGCGGACGAGTGGGCTAGCGCTGTAATTACTTTGCTTTTATACATACATGTTGGATGCTTTCTTGTTTAAACTAAAATGTTGTTGGAATACGATAGGGACCTTCATAGTCATTCTCTGAGTCGAACATAAAGCGAATTACAAGTACCATCCTCTCAACAATAAATAACAATATTCAATAAAGTATCCGCATTTAATGTGTCCTCGTACCTTTGAACACATCGCTGTAGCCTATTATGCTGGCTACTTTAAAGTTTTTGTACAAAACAATTTACCATAAGAGACTTGAAAGATACATTTTATAGAAACTAATAAACAACGGAGATTATACTTGCCTATCTAGTTTCCATCATAAAATACATGCAATTTTCAGCAACATGAGGCATCATCATAACATTAAAGTGACGTACCTATCACAAAGAAAATAGTAGAGTTATTATAAACCTCCATGAGGTGACTAGGTATGTATTACCAGCTTGACAGACAAAAAGGTCTTTTCAGGAATAGAATATTTCTTACTTTTCAGCGAATATTTTTTGATTTGTAAAATTTATGCATGCAGGCAGATGTCTACGAAATAAGCTTACGATTTTGTAACAAAACGCCTGAAAATTTGCACTGTTAATATTTTTCATTTTCTATAAATTATAAGAAAAAGGGGCACGTTTCTGATAGAAGATAGTTAAGGTATTGGGACGTTGAACCTACGTAGCCAGCGATAATAGGCACAATAAACACTGCCTGACTCGAAGATCGTGCCTTGGACAAACTCACAATAAAATATCTGGCTTATTTGCATTCAGATTTCGTGATGCTTTCCGTTTGGTTAGTAGAGATTGTGTTTCGTAACACATTGAACTATGTTTGCTTAAAATTATAGTTCGGTAGGCATCGGTGGCCTTGTGTATTTTGTCCCCTTCATTTGATTTTAAAAATACACATTACGCAGAGGTCGGTACTGTAATATCACAAGCAAAGTTCCTGGAAAACTTAAAAAACGTCAGTTTTTATTGCATGAACACACATTTTATTTGTTTGAAGATGCTTGAAAGCTTTCAAGCTCTTTTATTTGGTCTTTTGCGTTACAAGAATTCTAGTCAAAGATCCTTTTGTTCTGATGTAAAGATATGGTATTTATTTGTGCTAGCAACCAGACCAAAATAATGTTCCTAAGTTTACCTTATTTTTTGTAAGTAATATTACTAGGTAGAGCTTTCTTCTCTAGATATTTAGAAATGACGAGATAGCTGTAACACAGAATAGCATAAATGCAGTTTAAAAAGTTATTTATGTATCTCACAATCAGCCAGGGTATGATGCGCACGAGTTTTAAATCTCACTGAAGATTTAAGGTCGATATTTAGTCGTATAAAATCTATAAAATACCTCGATAAAATTATATCGTAGCGAGCATCTTAGCGCTTGGTGTACGAATCACGCTATAAAACTAGCACTATACTTACCATTTTCCTCTTGCTTCAGGATGGCGGCATCGCACATCCTTAGCGCGGTAGAACCGACGGTGGGCGGCGGCGGCGCGCGCGGCGGCCGCGAGCGTGAGGTCTCCGTCGCACTGGATGACAGGGAGCTGTGGGTCAGGTTCCAGACCCTCACCAACGAGATGATAGTCACCAAGAATGGGAGGTGAGGAAATAATTATTATAGACTANAAATAAACTACACATCTAACAACTGCTTAGTTGCTCGTAATGTAACCTGGATAAGAAGATGTGGGTCAGAATCACCAAGAATAGGAGATAATGAGAGAATAAGTATTACAAAATAGTGTTACCCGTACCTACTTCTATTAAAGTGTTCGTTACCTGTAATGTGACTTAGACGGCTGCAGGGAGGTGTGGTGGGAAGATACAAGAAATTGTCATTAAAAAAAAACGTAAGTTTCAAGTACGAGTAAGTAACCAGTTGTTGTTGTTGGAGGATAAGGATCAGATTTCAAAACTTCACATACAAGCACACGAGTAAGTGCTAAATCTTAGTTTAAATTAAATAAAATATTTTTAATCTCTATTCTTTACGAGTCATAGAGCCATATAGAGCATACGGGTTCTAATTCGTACTGCAGTAATTTCCATCATCCGTACGGACGAATGAATTTTTTCTATCAAAGTATTATCAAACAAAGTAGTATATTTAGTCTCAGACTTTAAAAGTTTATGTTACTTATTTAATTTAATTACTTACCTACTAAAGAAAATGGCAAAAAATCTGATGAATATTGCACGAAGCTTTCAGTAACCATAAATCCAAGGATTGTGCCTTGGTTACAAAAACCGTTACCTTTATTATTATGTTATAGTTGGGATTGCTTGAAAATAGTAAATATGTAATTAATCTATTTACTTGCCCAACAAGTAAAAGAGGATCGTCATTTGCGGTAAAAAAACATAATACCTATGTTATCTGTAGGCGAAATCACGGACAAAGCATCTAGTTGGTAGTAAAATTATTTGCAATAAAATATTAACGAAGCAAACATAACTTTAATATAAAAGATAATAAAATACATTGTAACAGAATGAGCACACCTGCATTCCTATTTTATGAAACCAAGTAGGTAGGTTAAGTTGAAGAATTATTATTGTTGTTGAGAAAGATCTCTGTTTGACTGACTGAGCCTTTGCAGATTTTCCTAGTAAAATACTTGGAAAAAATTTCTGCAGGCTTTTTTAAACTACCAAAATTCTATCCTAAAAGACTTAAGACAAAAATAGGCACTACCACTTTAGGTAATTTTTATAAAATATTTGGGAATAACAATTTTACTGTAATAGACATTAACTACAATAGAATCTTTAGTATAAAAAATACATAGTTATTCATCATCATGTACTTACGTAATTTATGAATGATTCAATCATTTAATTTTACAAAAGTCGTAGGTGTTATATTGATCGTGATTACCATAAAATTAATCTTTATGAAGTTTACTAGGACAAGGCAAATTATCTTAATAAAACTTAAGCACTTTTAACTTGTAGATAATTTATTATTATTGGCAGATTATTCAGAATAATAATTGGTAATTTTACTTTAGTTAGGTATTATGCTGTAAAAGGTTTTTCCTCCAAGCAATTTCAGACAACTTTGTTCTGCCATTAGAATTACACAGCTTACCTACAGCCCTTCTTGCGGGTATAAACGAAGAGAAAAGAGAACAATCGATATTTGTTTGTACGATTACATTGAATACNATAGACTATACACATTTGACAACTACCTATTTAGTTGTGCATAATGTGACCTGGACGGACAAGAAGATGTGGGCCAGAATCACCAAGAACGGGAGATAATGAGAGAATAAGTATAGAAAATAGTGTTACTCGTACCTACTTCTATTAAAATGTTCTTTACCAGTAGATAATGTGTTGGGACGACACAAGAAATTGTCATAAAAAAAACGTAAGTTTCAAGTACGAGTAAGTAACCAGTTGTTGTTGTTGGAGGATAAGGATCAGATTTCAAAACTTCACAAACAAGCACACGAGTAAGTGCTAAATCTTAGTTCAAATTAAATAAAATAATTTTAATCTCTATTCTTTACGAGTCGTAGAGCCGAAGCTCTACGGATTCTAATTCGTACTGCAGTGATTTCCATAATCCGTACGGACGAATGAATTTTTTATATCAAAGTATTATTATATTGACAAACAAAGTAGTATACTTAATCTCAGACTTTACAAAGTTTATGTTACTTTTTAATTTAATAACTTACTAAATAAAGTGGCAAAAATCTAAAAAATAGTAAATATGTTATTAATCTATTTAGTTAGTTGCCCAACAAGTAAAAGAGGATCGTCATTTGTGGTATAAAAACATAGTATGTATCTAGGCGAAATCACGGACAAAGCATCTAGTTGGTAGTAAAATTATTTGCAATAAAATATTAACGAAGCAAACATAACTTTAATATAAAAGATAATAAAATACATTGTAACAGAATGAGCACACCTGCATTCCTATTTTATGAAACCAAGTAGGTAGGTTGAGTTGAAGAATAATTATTGTTGTTGAGAAAGATCTTTGTTTGACTGACTGAGCTTAGCCCTTTACAGATTTTCCTAGTAAAATACTTGGAAAAAATTTCTGCAGGCGTTTTTAAACTACCAAAATCTATCCTAACTATAAGACTTAAGACAAAAATAGGCACTACCACTTTAGGTAATTTTTATAAAATATTTGGGAATAACAATTTTACTATAATAGATATTAGGTAGGTACAATAGAATCTTCAGTATAAAAAATACATAGTTATTCATCATGTACGTAATTTATGAATGATTAAATCATTTAATTTTACAAAAGTCGTAGGTGTTATATTGATCGTGATTACCATAAAATTAATCTTTATGAAGTTTACTAGGACAAGGCAAATTATCTTAATAAAACTTAAGCACTTTTAACTTGTAATTTATTATTATTGGCAGATTATTCAGGATAATAATTGGTAATTTTACTTTAGTTAGGTATTATGCTGTAAAAGGTTTTTCCTCCAAGTAATTTCAGACAACTTTGTTCTGCCATTAGAATTACACAGCTTACCTACAGCCCGTAGCCAGAAGGATATCTTAGACTTGTCATGCTCACTAAAATGTCTCTGGGGTAGTGGCGTGTGAGGCGGGTCGTTACATTCCCTATAATATGGTCGAGTGAAGCGATGGCTGGTTCACACGTCATGTCTGTGAACAGGCGCTGCCTTCGGGGACTGGTCAAGGAAAGATATACCTGACATAAAATATATGTATCAAAACGCAACAATTAACCTAGAAATTAGCACGGCACTAAAGAAATATATTCAAAACTGTTACGCGGTCTCGTGCTAGATGGGCGTCTTAAAGGCCACCTTCTATCAACGGGAGCGCGTGGTAAGTAACTTGCTTCTGAATGTATGTAACTTCCTACTTTTTTATATTTTTTATATTTTTAAACCGGCAGACAGTGGTGACTGAGTTTTTTGCGGCGCTTCTTCTCAGCACTTGCCAAATGTTTGTCTCGAAGCGCTGGTAGGGCAAAAAAAGTATGAGACATGTATAGGCTCCTTAAGAGCATTTGACGATTTGCAAGAACTAATTTAATTAGTCTAAACAAATAAAGATAATTTTGATTTTGATTTTTGATTTTGCCCTTCTTGCGGGTATAAATGAAGAGAAAAGAGAACAATCGATATTTGTTTGTACGATTACAATTGCCGCGATTGAATACCTAGTCTCCGAAAGTACTGAACGGATTTGATTCTTACACCATAATCCGTTATCCCTGAAATCAAAATCAAAAATATTTTATTCAATTTAGACCACTAGTGGCACTATCTTTACCCACCATGTGTGTAACCTACTCGTACGTGTGATGAGTTTTCCGCGAATCCGGAAATAACGGTTGCCTGTGACTCGCTTCAAACATGCGTGCGAAACAATTTTAAAAGAAGTCGGTTAAAAATAATAGAAAGCAACTGTCCTTACATTCCTCAGTAAGATTGAAATAATAGTACCTACAAGGCTCGGAATCCCACAGTTATTTCGTGTGTATACGAGTACGCGTGAGTATGTATTTCTCGCATAGGCAGATAGGTATTTTCTTAGGATAGTTTTCATAATCATTATTGAATATGGTTTGGCTAAAACCATAGAATTCTAATGTGTCGTTCGTGCCGGTCTCGAGGTTTCGTTGCCCTTACGCTTTCCCTTGATATAGGCACTTAACCCTAAGATATTTCCAAGCTTCGAAATTTTGTTTTGTTTTTCGTGAAAAATTGCAAAGGCACGAATCGGTTTAAATGAGGGTACGGCCGGTGTGGAAGGCCTGGCCACAACCCAGTGCTAACAGCCGCTGACGGGCGGCTAGTTTTCAGCTATTAACACTGTAGGCTCCACTCATTAACGCAGGGTGGCTAAATGATACGACGTACTGCTCTACCCTGACATGCAGCATGGTCTGACAAGGCTTATTTGTATCATTGTCTTTTATGCACAACTCGTCATCGATGCACTTATGATTCATGCTTTATGTAGTCATAAAATATGTTAAAACTCCAATAAAATAACACTTACTTGCAGGCAAGAATAACGAGATTCCCATATTTTAGGCAGAACAGAAATTCATACAAGCTGAGCTATTGCTCCTGAACCAGGAGGATTTCTGTAACAAGTGTAGTGTAGTTATTTCTGTATTGTAAAATATTTACGTTTTTAAGTAACTAAATAAAATAAATCCAATAAAATTCATAACAATATATTTCGCAAAGAGAGAGAAATATGGAGATAGAGTACATCGACACGAGTTATTGTAGAGCTTTAAAAGCTCTCTAATACTAAATTTTTTATTGAACTGCGCTTTCTACCAGCGCAGTAGATTTTACAACTGAAAGGAATTTTTTAAAACGTAGTATTATTGGTTCCTCAGTATAAACTTATCTAGAAAACACGTTTTTATTGTTTCAGGCGAATGTTTCCAGTGGTGAAGGTGACCGCAAGCGGGCTGGACCCAACGGCCATGTACACAGTATTGCTAGAATTTGTTCAAGTAGATTCACATCGGTGGAAATATGTAAACGGCGAATGGGTAGGTATTTTGCATTTTATGAAAAGTAAGATTCAGAACATTAGGAAGAAGAAATTAGAAGTGGGATAAGGACAAATTTGTTCATTAATTTCTCTATAACTCAAAGCTTAGTGTGGTTAATCGATGTAGAATCTAAAATGAGTACGAAGCCCTGAGTACGTATACTCGTAACTCATATCTAAATTATTTTTGAATTAGATTTGCACTAAATGGGGCAATTCTAAGAAATAGCTTTAATGAATGACGACGCACCTTAGAGTCAACCGTCTATTTATGTGTTTACAATGTTGGTTTTCAAAATACCTACTTATTAATACCTATGTGTTAAACTAGTCATAAATACTAAGATTAGGTAGAGTTGGTATTTTTTATAATCTAATAAGAATTTAATGAATGTTATATATATTTTTATAGATACCTGGAGGTAAAGCCGAAGTGCCGCCTTCTAATGCAATATACATTCATCCAGAGAGCCCTAACTTTGGCGCACATTGGATGAAGGAGCCCATATCATTCGCCAAAGTCAAACTCACTAATAAAACTAATGGGAATGGACAGGTAAGAACACGTCATTAATTTTAATGTTTGAATGCGGTCTGAACTGTGTATGAATAATGTTTCGAGAAAAGTCACTCATCAAATAATGACATAGGAACCGAAAATATACCATACTTACTTAATTGTTTGAACATGATCTTCATTTCGTTACGTAATGAAGCCAAATGATTAATGGGCTGCTCCATATTCACACCGTTCTTTCTAACGTGGTTTGAATAATCAGTTCACAGTATTGACAGAATACTAATTTCCGATAATAGAAACCTGTGATGAGAAGGTGCTATACTGCTACAGTTTCTATGCTACCGCTACTTCATAGAAGCCAGTTCTCACGGTTGAATTTGGTGCGAATGAACATGAGAGCAAACATCAGATGAATCCAGATCCATATGTTGACGGGTCGGTGTGAAATCTGTAGCTTTACCAACTGTTTAGCGGGTGCCTGTACGCACTATCATTTGTAATAATTATTGTCTCTGCGCTATGTTTACATTACACATATTTTATGAGAGCTTCTACTTGAAGAAATTAATTTCTTTCTCTTGTGATTCGCACTAGGGCTAGAAAATGATGTGTGTATATTTTATGTAATCTTTTCTTTTAGATCAATAGACATACTGTTTCTATATGTTATCTATATTTCTCTGCATTGGCATCCAAGCTGATATCGGAATTTGTACCTTTTCTCTACACCGATAGGTAAGTTACTGAAAAAACAAATAAATATTTTGTTAATTTCAGATAATGTTGAACTCTCTACACAAATACGAGCCGAGGGTTCACCTGGTGAAAGTTGGGACAGATCTCAGACGCATCATGACCTACCCATTCCCCGAGACGCAGTTCATCGCAGTAACTGCTTACCAGAATGAGGAGGTCACTTCGCTGAAAATAAAATACAATCCGTTCGCAAAAGCCTTCTTGGATGCCAAGGAAAGGCCTGAGGGATATTATCAAAGGGACTTTGTTGGGACACACTACCCTCAACAAAGTTCATCGCCTCATCAATATCCGCAATGTAAGTAGAATTTGATATTAGTCAAAAAAAATATTGGAACATGGAAAGGGGGAGGCCTATGTTCAGTAGTGGACGTCTTATGGCTGCTGAGATGAAGAATGATGAAAAAATATTAATGATATCATAAAGGATTAATTAGTGTTATTGTTATTTGAAATTGTTGGAATATTTGGATCGTCCGTCTTACAGTCGGTGGATGGTTTGTAGCATCGCAGTCGCTGTACAGCAGCGGCAACGCGGCTTCACGGAGGCCGGCGCCGTACCCGCCGAGACCGCCGTCCCGGCCGAGGACTTTATCTCCGCCCTGTAAGTAGCAAACATCTCAGTCGATCATTCATTCTTACGTAAAAAACAGAAAGAAATAGTTTACAGAGTGTTGAAGATTGACAATATGAACGAAACAACTGGCACCGAACGAAACTGCAAATGCCATAGCAGATTCGGTGGCTCTAAAGCTGTTCTGAATGCTACTTCTGCGTTTTCCAATTATTATGCTATTTAAAGTATAAGTCCTAACTACCTACTTACAATCTCTGCTGGTATTTTAACAGCCAATAACCAGGTCACAATGGATGCAGCTTAGCTGTAAATCTCTTTATAATTTTGAAGTTTTTTAAACTGTTTACTAATTTATTTATTCCTTTTCAGCGACCTACAGCAGTTCCGAGCGGACAGCTGCTGCAGCACCCANTGCGCCCAACAGTAGTAGCTACACTTGGGCTGGCAGCAGTGGCTACTGGAGCTCGGCACAAGGCAGCAGCTCGCCTCAGCCTAACGTTTCTCCTGGACCATACCGCACCCCTCCTCACGCGTACCCTGCGCCTCTTGAATACGCTCCAGCGCCGCCTACAAGCACGGCGGCACCCGCGACTGGGCCAGCTCCTCTGTACCCGTTGCAGTATGAAACCCCGAGTCAACACCACTCCCCGTACTACCAACATGCGTACGCGCCTTACGCTCACCACGCCATTGAAGATATTTCCTACTGGCCGAATAGGTAACATTTTTGATCATGCTTTTCATTAATTGCTGCAAAGAGCACATCTCCCGCTATTTTATCCAGTTCATAAAGTCGAGACTTGTTTTTCATTCGCTTCTGTAACTTTTAATGGCAAATGTTGATAAGAAACTATGCTACAAATAAGAGAAACTGTTTTCTTTAATACGTACATTAGAAGCTTAAAATAATCTTGTAAAAGGCCTAATCAATGAGTCCATTTAAAACTACTAAGAACAATTTCATTCAAATGTATTTTTGTGTTCCAGCTTGAACAGCTACAGCTACCAGCCAACCGAGTATGTGGGTACAGGCGAAATAGCTTACGGTGCAGAAGGCATGTCCTACCCTTCTGGATCCACTCTCGAGACAGGGGGCGAAGGCAGAGGAACACCTCCAAGTTCGGAACATCCACAGCAGGAGAGAGAGTATAAATTCAACGCAGAAGAAGAAAGACACTCCCCTTGCGAGGAGCCCACGATATCTCCACGGTCACCACCACAGTGACTTCTAGTTTCTTAAAAGTAGGAAAAAGGAATAATTTAAAAATATTTTCTGTTGACATGGTACGAGTAATAAGTACCTATTTATGACTTTCATTGCTGTGAGGTATCGTTATGGAGAAGTTTCGTAATGTTGAAAACATTATAGTTCACTGAATGGGATTAAAATATAGACCAAAACTAAAAAGTCGGTGAAGTTTTTTTTTAAATCCATCAAAAAATGGCTGAGAAATTAATTATTTAAATTACCTACATATTTTCGCGGAACTCAAACAGGCGGAGCCGTGACCTGTATAAGTTTAAACCACATTGCCTAGCACCCCTGGCCGCGTTGTTGAGAATGACACTTTATGTCAAGTCTTTTTCTTCTTTTTGTTTAAGGTCTGTCAANCCAGGCCAGACCTGTCAAAAAAGATTACTAAATTTTAATAAGAAATAATCGCTTGAGTGACCCTGGCTGAAATATTAAAAACTACTAGATTTTTTAAAATTGGATCTGTCAACCGGACTGAACCAGGGGTGATTCACTGTTTGTACTCTGAATGAGTGCCGTGACGTCACCGATCAAATGGCGTGAAATATTATGTGCCTTAATAAAATACAGTGTTCTGTTCTGTTGAGAGAGCAGTCTATGATCTTTGCCTATTTTAGTCTATGGTATAAGAAAACTTACCAATTGTCTCTGCTTTATCATCTAGTTTACCTTCTTCATACACCAGCTGGCACCACTTTCTATGGAAATTGGTGATCTGTCAACTTGACATCTTCATAGCGTTTGTGATTTTTGCCGCTTAAACAGCAAAAATTTTCTCTCGTGCGTTTTAAGTATTAAAATAAGTTTGAAACACAGTAAAAAGCACTGTATAGGAAGTGTGATGGAAAGTGTAATGGAAGAAAGTGTAATAGAAGAGAGTGGTGAAGGCGGGAAGTCGAGTTCTGTCGCCCCGGATGGGGGAGAGGCTCGAACATCTTTTTCAGACTCGTCCTCATCGTCTTCGGAAGATGAAAGGTTCGCCTCACCACCGCCAAATAAACGACGGAGGTCAAGTAAGTGTTCAACCTCCCATTCTTATGACCCTCGAGTTGATACCTTGATGACTCAGATGAATTACATCTCCAATTTTGTAGCGCATCACTTGCCCTCTACGTCAAACCTACAAAACAATAATAACTCGCAGGGTAGTGATCATTTTCTCAAAAAACCAATCTCAGCCACTCCGTTATCATTAGGCGAGATTAATATCGGTCATGACGAAAATAAAATAATACCTCAGGCGGATGCTGAACGACTTAAGGAGATTCATAATTTGCAACAGTTTGACTCTCAGGCCTGGAAGGGTATTAGGTATAAAAAAGCATTGCAAACATGTATAGCGGCTCCCGGGTTTATGGGGTTAAAGATTAATGATGAGCTTTGTCACTTTAATAAGACTAAGGACTATTTAGCTTCCACTGAAAACCTTATGGCAGGTTTATCCAATCAGGTCTTGGAACATAGACACCTAATTCAGCAGTCCTTACAGGATGTTTTAGATTGGGCTTCTAAAGACCCCTCAAAGTTAAATGTTGATAATTTATTTGATAAATTTTCCTTAATGTTTGGTCCCGGCTCTGCTATTGCTAAGAACTCTGAAACCACAATGCAAATTATTTGTGGCAAAAGAGCCGAATGTATTGAATTTCGACGTGAGCGCATTTTGAAGGAAATCGGTAATACTAACCTTCGGACAACCTTAAATAAGGTTCCCCCAAGTGCAGAATATCTTTTCAGTCGTGATACATTACAACCTATAATCCAATCCTTGGGTGGGTCACAAATTTGGTTAAACACCCCATCATATTTATCAAACAAAAAGAAAACAAATCCTTTCCATGAACAAGGTTCTTTCAAAAAACCATACACAAATCGATCAACACGCAACAAGAATTATAACTTCAATGCTGATAAAAAATCAAAATATGTTGCTAGAAAGCCCTTTCGCCGCTCAAATAACTCAGAAAATTCCAATACCAATATTACCAATACAAAACAAAATTGACTATTTGGAGGGAAACTTCAGGGGGGGATGCCTAAGGAATCATGTCAAGGTTTGGGAAAAGATGGATGCAAATCATTTCATTCTAAAGATAATTACAAGTTGTCGAATTCCATTCAGGACAAAACCTCCACTCCAGTTTCCTTACAAAAAATTTCAAACAAGGTTCTCAACACAAGTTACTCCGGAGATGACAGCCATGATCAAAGATCTCAAGGAAAAAGAGATATTAGAAACACCTCCTTCCTTAAGCCCAGGCTTCTTTTCAAAGATGTTTTTAGTAAAAAAATCCGATGGTGGAATGAGACCCATTTTCGATCTACGTCGTCTCAATGCTCATGTCGCGACAAAACAGTTTCATCTGGTTTCGCAGACAGATGTCGTGGACTTTCTTCAAGACCACGACTGGTTGGTGAAAATCGACCTTCAGAACGCCTACTTTCATCTGCCAATAGCAGAGGCTCACAGATGTTTCCTTCGAGTGGTCTACAACAAGGAAATCTTACAGCTAACAGCCCTCCCCTTTGGTCTCTCTTCGGCACCGCAGATTTTCTCAGCGGTGTCAAGTTGGGTTGCGGAAACCCTTCGAGCCAGAGGTCTTCGAGTAATTGTATATTTGGACGACTACCTGTTGGTTCATCAGGATCGTTCTGTCTTAATAGCTCAGGTATCAGACACTCTGAGGCTACTAGAAACCTTAGGTTGGCATGTCAATCGCATAAAATCAATTTTAGAGCCAACACAGGAGCTGGAATATCTTGGCCTAACCTGGAATACTCTCAGAAACACCATGACATTACCACTGAAAAAAGTTCTCAAGATAAAGTCACTAATATCTCAAATAAAGATCTTGGATTTAACTTGTACACTCAGACAGGCTCAGAGTCTTTTAGGACTTTTAAACTTTGCAACACTAACAGTCCCCGGAGGACGTCTCCACTCACGCAATATGCAGCTGTTTCTGAGAGGTTTTCAGGAGGGGCGACTGAGGGAGAGAAGAGTTCTACCTCACTCCGTTCAACAAGACCTAGACTGGTGGCTAAGCGCCGTAGACAACAGTTCGAAGCCGTTGCGCCGAAAAGAAGTCACACACTTCTTAACCACAGACGCAGCGGATGCGGGGTGGGGCGCTCAACTCAACGGCCTATACTTAGCGGGAACCTGGACTCCCTATCAGGAAAGATGGCACTCCAATATAAAGGAGATGTACGCAGTATACGGAGCATTATTAAGCCAACAGGGGCGATTGAACGGGGCCCACATTCTGATCCAATCAGACAACCGAACATTAGTGGCATACATCAGAAACGAAGGAGGTACCCGATCTCGGGCCCTCCTCGAATTGACCACCAAGCTCCTCAACCTGACCGAACGGCTCGAAATGACGCTGTCGGCTTGTTACCTGCCAGGAAACCTAAACGGGATAGCAGACCGCCTGTCAAGGGGTCGAGCAGTACCCGAGTGGCATTTACTACCCCAGGCCACGGAGGCCATATTCAGCAAATGGGGCGTCCCAGACATAGACTTATTCGCTTCCAGGACTACGGCAGTGGTTCAAAACTATGTCACTCTGGACTCAAGAGATGGATCCGCAGATTTTTGCGACGCCTTCAGCCGTCTTTGGGATTATCAGCTGGGGTGGGTGTTCCCACCTCCCAGCCTGATCCCACAGGTGTTAGCACACCTGAATCTTGCAAAAGGAACATACATCCTAATAGCACCACAGTGGCATCAGTGCTATTGGCTCCCAGATCTCCGAGCCAGGGCCCTGGAGGCCCCAGTATTAATAGAGAATCTGAGAAAGACCCTAGTGGACCAGACAACAGGTCAGTGTCCTCCCCAGGTAGACAAGCTTTCTCTTCAGGCATGGAGAATTGGGGGTGGAAAGAGCAAATATCCCACTGGGCCATAGAAGAAAGAGATTTATTAAAACGTAGCTGGCGTAACTCTACCTTATCCACTTATAATGCTCCGATCAGAAGATGGATTACTTGGTGTAAATCTCACAACATTGACCCCAATGTACCAACTGGTAACGATGTAGCACGGTTTTTAGCAAATTTATTTTTGAAAGATAAGCTATCCTACAGTACAATACTGTTACACAAATCAGCGGTAGCTACATTTTGTGCAACATCTACAGAAAATATTTCAAAGAATTTTTTTGTCCACCAGATCCTAAAGGCCATTTCACTGACAAGGCCAGATACACCAAGATCACCTGTTTTTGATATTAAATTACTATTTGACTGGTTACAAGCTACACCCTGTTCGGGCACTTTATTTGATGTTTCTCGAAGAACAGCTCTTGTTCTTCTTCTTGCTTCAGGTCGAAGAATTCACGATCTCACTCTTTTGGACATATCACAGGATCACTTCTTTGAAGAATCAAATAAGATCACATTGTGGCCAGTATTTGGATCTAAAACGGACTCAGCCACCCACAGACAGTCTGGATGGACTCTAATTAAGCACCCAAATGATCGCATATGTCCTGTAGTGCATATTAGAGAGCTGCTAGAGATTTCATTTGAACGGAGATCTGAGAGTAATGTGTCAAATTTGTTCATATCCATTACTAGTACAGTAAAGCCTGCTTCCAGAACAAATATCGCAAACTGGATTAGAACTATCTTTAGGGAAGTGAATATTGATGCTTCTCCAGGAAGTATTCGGTCTGCAGTAGCATCTCGAGGTTGGCTGGAAAAGAGACCAGTCGATGAAATCCTCAAAAGAGGTAATTGGAAAAGTGAGCAGACCTTTAAGAAGTATTACTGCAGGGAGGTACAAAGAAATGATAACACATTCTGTGCTGATTTATTATTTCATAATTTTACAAGCATGTAGTTAACTGTTATGCTGTTGTTCAGAAGAAGTTTATTATTATTGTTTCCTAGTTGTTTAAGAAAACATGTCAGAATGTTCTTAATAATGTTACTTTTATCTTATCATAATACTTTATTAATGATTAATGAAAAGAAATTAGATCTCAAGATAATTATCCTAGATAATTTTAGTTACTTATCCTAATCATAGTTAGGTTAAGATGGGAGATGTTGCTATTACCTTACCGTAATAAATCTATTAATGATTAATGAGGATAAGAATTTTGATCTCAAGGAGATATCCTAAATAATTTTAATTACTTAAACCTAAAATGCTGATTAGATTTTGTTTATAAGTTCTTATAATTAGATTGTCTGTTTTCTCATAGAATACACCTAAGAAGTTGTCTTAATTAATTACCTTCTTTTATTTCCTCTCATTCATAATACATTTTATATCACATAGCGTTTGTGCTTGACACCAGCAGATAACAAACAGGTCTCAACAGAACACTGTATTTTATTAAGGCACATAATAGAACTGTTTTGCATTACAACAAAACAGTTATTATGTGTAGAATAAAATACAGTGTTCCAGCAAGGGCTTGCTGGTGTTGGACGACTATGAAGATGTCAAGTTGACAGATCACCAATTTCCATAGAAAGTGGTGCCAGCTGGTGTATGAAGAAGGTAAACTAGATGATAAAGCAGAGACAATTGGTAAGTTTTCTTATACCATAGACTAAAATAGGCAAAGATCATAGACTGCTCTCTCAACAGAACAGAACACTGTATTTTATTCTACACATAATAACTGTTTTGTTGTAATGCAAAACAGTTCTATTTGTTATGCGCAACTGCGTCTTTCCGTTCTATACATGGCCAGAACGCACCCATAGGAAACTGCTCGTGTATATTTTGGAGTGCTCCTTTGTAAATCTGTTCCTACAAACTATACNTTGATGATAAAGCAGAGACAATTGGTAAGTTTTCTTATACCATAGACTAAAATAAGGCAAAGATCATAGACAGCTCTCTCAACAGAACGCTGTGTTTTATTCTACACATAATAACTGTTTTGTTGTAATGCAAAACAGTTCTATTATTATACTATAATCGACTCAGCCAAAATATCAGTCTTCGGAGTTTTGAGGCTACATCAGCTACATGTACATTATGATATTAGCCACAAACAAAACAACCCACAACAACTCATCATAATAAGATTAAGAGATAATTAAAAAACAAATCAATTATTTTCTGCTCTCTGGTTTCAAATGAGAAAGAGGCAAGAAAAGTCAGACTTTTAACACTTTATTAGTTAGGGTCATTCACAAGGTCATTAGTAATCTACAAAAATAAAAACAACTGCATATTTGCATAGTGCCTTTGCCTTTTCCTAAAAAGGAAAGAATCGAATGTCAAATGTCTGTCACTCACTCACACTCAGCTGTCAGACATGTTTAGGGATGCTCGATATTAGATAAACATCGATGTTAACATTGAATCAAAAGTATCGATGTACGATAAATATCGATCAAAAAAATCAATATTTCTAAAACATCGATGTTTTTGGAAACAAATAAAAGTATAAATTATTAGATAAATTAATTACAAAATAAAAGGAGCAAGCACGAAATTTAATCTCGCGTAATTAATCCACTTTTTTCACAAGTTAACCTAAAATTGGAATAATACTGTGAGCAGGTAAGTTACAGCATTTACAGGAGAAAGAAATCATAATATAACACAATAAAAATGTAAATAATTTATTTATTTATTTATTAGGAAAACCAACAGCAACACAAATACTAAATAACATAAAATAAATGAGATCTAAAATTGTGTATCTGCTTAGCCATTTATAGGTAATCTGTATTAGGTAATAATGTTACCTTACCTTTTATTTCGTTTACGAAGTTTCAACAAAAGAAGTTACAAAATCAATAGTAAATCCAATTTGCTTCCGCTTCACAAGTTTACTCACAAAACAGCACCTCACTCATCAAGTGTGTGACAGTGAAGTCAGTGACAGATTTTTTTAATCTCTTGAGAAATAAAAACAAACTTATTCGTACGGCTATGATGGCTTACTCCGATTATTTTGATCAGTGTCATCTTATGACTATGCAACATTTACTATTTACCCTACTGCACGCTAGACGGCAAGACGCGGCGCCCAAAAACATAATTAACGTTTCGATATTTTTATTCAGGTAACGTCGATGTTTCGATAATATCAAAGTCAACACATCGATGTTTTTTTATAGTTAAAAATCGATGTTTTATCAACATCGATGAATACGACCCTACATGTCATATGTCAATTTGTGGTTCTCATTCTGTTTTTTTCCGTGTTTTTTACATAACATAGCCTAAAAGTTTTAGAAATTCATAAATTATTGCACACACAAGCTTTTTCCTGAAACTTTTAGTGTAATGGTAATGGCTTTATGCTCTCGGCATTTTCTGAATTCCCTTAAGCGAACCTATTACGTTAGTTCACGAGGTTTAACAATGACCACCCCAAACCATCAAAAGTTATTAGAGGATATAGAAAAAAATCCATATTATGAAAAATATTCTGCACGTATTGCTGCTCTTCAAAAAACTTCACCGGAAGAATTCATGCAGAGAGTGGAACAACAGCAAAGCACAAAAGAAAGAGAGAAAAAAACTAAATTTGGATCAGTTGATACTAGGTACACAATTATTTTCTATTTATTTAGGCAGTACTCTATATGTAGTCCAGTAGTAGTTTAACATTTTAGTGGTTTCTTTTGAATTCTAAGAATAAAATAAAAATATTTTAAACATTTTCCAGGCAATTCTCATCTGTGTTGAATCCAAAGAGTGCTATTGATAAAGGTGCACAAGCTGCAGAAAAAAAATTAGATGATATTTTCAAAACAGAACTTGTTATGGATAAAGATGCTTCAGAAATTCAGAGTATTTGGGAGGAATACCACAAAAATAAAGAAGTCTTATCTGCTACCATCCCTGGTGATTTATACACAATCATACAGAAAAATATGAAAGAGTATCCAACTTTCCTGTTCCCTTTGCCACGTTCCCAGGGCTATGAGTTCATTATGTGTCAAAGTTACGGTCATACTGTGCATTTTACACCACTTCTTGCTTATCAGGTATTGGTGACTCACTTATAAGTTTCAGATTTATACAGCAAATAAATCCCATCATCATCAACACCTTTCGTGTTTACAGGTCCACAAAGAAAATGCACCCGAGTGCCTGACCACAGTCCACTACACTGAGCTAAAAGACAAAGGCATTGTCCTCATGAGGGGAGAATATGATAAGGTAACTATGAAAAAGAACATGACAAATGCACTAGTCTTCTTAATTAAAGTTTTTTCAATAGTATAATTTATTGCTTCCATTATGAATTTAAAAAAAAATGTTTCAGAATGTTTTGACTGCACAGGAGGCTCAGTGTTTAGCAAACCAGTTTCAAATGTACTACAGCAATAAAGATACAAGGAAACAACTGTTATTAGAAACATTCACAAAGAGCCCCGATACATTCAAACATATGGATTTAGTATCAGAGTTAGAAAACATAACATTAGTTTAAATTCAAAATATGTTAAATAAAAATACAATCATAATTCTTTAAAATTGTTTTTATTACCCTAAACATTAGAAGGTACTTCACATATTTATTACACACAACCTCAATCTTAAGCTATTCATTTAATCTATGTGGATAATATTCATAGTCTGGTGTGTAAGGCAACACAGAGTGCACGGGGGGTGAGGCTGCTGGAGAGCCTGGTGTGTGTGGCGTTTGTGGGGGGGATATGTTTGAATCGGAAGGACTAGATTCATGGTATATGTGCTGAAAGCTTTGACGCCATCCAATTTTAATGTAATCCATTGGGTTTTCTACAATAGTTTCTTTTGGTGTACATGTTCCATCACTACTCAAAATATTTTTCTTTATACAAGATCCTTCACTTTTGCCGGTTTCATATTGTTTTTGCAAGTTTTCAAAATATATATTCTGTAAACTAATTTTAGTTTTATTTATTACATCCTCTTTAATTAGACTTGGTAAATTGCTCCTTAGATATTGAGGGATATCATCCATGAGTTCTTCATATAAATGGTAACCAAAATCTTCAACAGATCTGTTTGTAGATGTGATAGAAGAAAGAGTCTCTTCATTGGTAGAATCTCTTAAAGTGCGAGTCTCTTGTTGAATTGGACTAAACATAATCATGCTGTTGGAAGTATCTTCATTATTCTCAAAGTCACTCTGTCTCAATATGTCAGCTTCTTTCCTTATTGTAGGTGTACTATTGGTACTCTTTGAATCTTTCATAATATTTGTAGGTGATATTACTGGTTTTTGTAAGCCTGCATTCAAAGTACGATCCTCATCAAGTGTAGGTCGAGTAACAGTCTCAGATCTGACTGCTTTGGAGAACATAGTCAAAGTTAAGCGTTTAGATGTAATACAATTATTTTTTTTACCACCAACTTCACAAGTCTGGAGTACCTTTTTGTTTGATAAATCTCTTGAAATTGAACTATTCCGAGACCTCTTCCACAGTTCATCAAGGCACTTGCGTGTTTTCCTCTTCTTTCTTTTAGTGACAACTAATAATGTGTCCATTGTAGTTTTATTCAAGAAAGGTAAGTCTATTTTAATAAATTTATTATATGCACTATAAGTTGTGCTATAAGTCTAACATCAAATAAATTGGATGACACCAGACTACTGTCACTTTTCTTTTTAAATAGCAAAGGAATTATAAAAAAATATTATGAGAAAATTCATAGACAATTAAAATAATATGTTTCTTTTTATAGTTGTAAATCTAGTAGGCACTGTAGGCATAAAAATCACCAAAAATGTTATTTTATTGGAATTCTAAAGAATCTGATAATTATTATCAGTATTAAGTACCTATTTGAAATCTAACCAGCAGAGAAACTCAAAGGACAGCCAGCTGAAAGAAATGGGCTAAAAAAATAAAACAATGGGGTAATTATTATCACATAATAACTATTTATTAAACAATAAACATCTAGACTGTAGCACGGTTAATATTTAAATATGTAATACCATTTAGTATTTGGGTGCTGGTGATCGTCCTTCTTCCTTGGAGTAGTCTCTGATGGGAGAGTAGAACTGTTGAAATTAAAATACAAATCTTAGATGAGCTTGAAAATGCTTAGCATTTAAACATGATTATAATTAAAAAAAATTGTATACTATTTTAAAAAATTGTGCTTTGAAATTATTATTTAATATTTATGTATAAAATTATATGTCCTTTTCTTAATACTTATCTATTTACCTTAAGGGCTTATGGAAGTAAGATAAACCTTTATGAGTAAGTAGGTATAAGGTGAATGATTGTAAGTTACCTATGTGAAAATATTGTTTTGTTTATTTCATGGTTTTAAGATTACATACCCTTTTGTTTAACAAAATTTACAACTGTTTGATCCTGAAAAATATCCAAAGATATACCTTGTATTGCTTGTTCCTGTACTCCTCCCACGGCTCAGGGTTGGACTTCTTGCTCCAGGAGACGTCGGGCGAGCGGAGCGCCAGGCGCGCCAGGTAGAACATGGCCCCGCCGCAGCCCAGCGCCGTGCACACGTACAGCGGGATCAACTGCAACAGCAGACCCCGTGCGTGAGCCCGACAGATTGATAAGAACCAATCGATAGGTACGCATTATAGGTTAATTATGTAAGAACTATGCAGCAGAAATGCAATAAAATAAAAGGAAACTAATCACTTACAGCCTTGTGCTTCTTCAAACTTGCGATGCTGAGACCTTGCATCTTGCTATTATTTTCTTGTAGATGTGTAGATTATTAGCAATCACAAGTGGGATCAACGAAATGAAAAATCACTGCTCTAAAAATTGTGACAGTTTGACATTTATAGTGATGTTATTTAGCAGATTCGTAACATAATGATTAATCGATATAAATATCAATGCACCATTCACTTTGATCTAAACTATACAAAAGGCTGAGTAATTGACGATTATTTAATGATACGGCCCGATCGCGAATTACGGCCCGATCGCGAACGTCGGTCTGCGACCGACGCGGACGAGCCTGGGCTTCGCTCCGCGAAGCCCACACTCGGCCTCGCCGGCACGCGCACCGACGATCGCCAAACGGCTAGAGTACCTTCTGTACTCGCCACTCTGCCCGGTGAAGCTGGAAAAGCTCCTCAAGCTACAAGCGCGCGGCCCTTCAAAAAAAAAAAAAAAAAAAAAAAAATAAGATTATTTAATACTAGCTTTCCACCCGCGGCTTTGCCCGCGTGGAATTTTGTCTGTCACAGAAAAACTTTATCGCTCGCGTCCCTGTTTCAAAAACCGGGATAAAAACTGTCCTATGTCCTTTCCCAGGAGTCAAACTATATCTACCGTTTAGGCGTGAAAGTAAGACAGACAGACAGAGTTACTTTCGCATTTATAATATTAGTATAGTTTAGCAAGCGCTTGCACTGACATATTCATAAGAGGGTCAAATTCATTTTAATAAGTTTCTCATGACCGTAGCCGTATCCACAGAGCATGTAACCGCACATGGCCGTATCATAATTGCCTATAAAATTTTGAATGTTGACATGTTTTTGTTGATTGTGTAGGGCAAAACACGCGCTAGAGACCCGGCTATAAGTCAACAACCGGCATATAGAAATTATTTTAAGAACACCAAATGTAACTTACCGTGATTACCGATCGGTGTGTTCCACAGATATGGATTAGAGTAGATACAGCAAGTTGATCGTCAAAGCGTGCCATTCCGATATGTCCAAATGGACATACATGGTCGAGTGATGTTCATGTAATCCGATTACAACAATCGGTTACGATGATTTTACGAGAACAGTAGTACGAACACANTTCTACACATAATAACTGTTTTGTTGTAATGCAAAACAGTTCTATTTTAATGTATAAAATGTTTCAAATTAAAAATAAAATATCAAATTTATTTCGTCGATGAAACTTCTATCGTGTAATGGAACGCAGAGTTAGTGATGTGCTCAATGTTGTCCATTCGGAATCGATTAAAATTTTGTACTGGCTGGTTTGACTGGAAATTTAGAATAACTCTTTTTATGAGGAATCGGGTCTCCAGCAGCAGGTGTTTTAACACAATCAACAATAACCATCCTTTTTCCTTTTCCTTAGATAGACAATCAATAAAAACATCTCACCATTTAACAAAATTGTTTAACAATTAGAACCAAAACTAAAAACATTGTTTCACATCAACATCATCATCATCATTTCAACCATAGGACGTCCACTGCTGAACATAGGCCTCCCCTAATGCTTTCCACGTTAAATAAATAAATAAATGTAAATAAATATCCTTGGACATTTACACTGCGCTTCTAGTCCAAAACTAAGCGAAACTTGTACTACGGGTACTAAACAACGAATAAAACATACTTAAATACTTTTTTTTTTATAAATACATACATATTATACATAGAAAATACCCAGTCCAATACAAACAAATATGTTCATGCACACAAATTAATGTTTGTACTGTGCGGGAATCGAACCCGCAACCCCCGGAATAGTAGTCCGTTTCAAACCACTACACCAAAGTGCCGACATTGACGTTGATCGATTGGTAGCGGCCTGCCTCCAGCGCTTCCCTGCTACCTTGTCGTCGGCAAAACATTGTTTCACTACACATTTTTGTTTCCATCAAAAATGTTTTTGATTTTCATGCTAGACATATATATGTTACGGTCAAAGTGATAAATGTGAAAATTATGAATAATCGCCGGTTATTATGAATAATTACCGCATGATTTGGTAAATGTGATTAATATGAGGTCATTTATGTGTGTATAAAACTAAATAGGCGGCTTAGGGGTGGCCCAAGGGCCCCCCCCCGCCGCTCCTTAACCTATTTTTCACTTTAAATCAAAACATTATGTTATAGGCATCATGGAAAAGTAATATTATGCAAGAAACATTCCAAACTCATTATGCCAAATTATATTAANCCACTTTCTATGGAAATTGGTGATCTGTCAACTTGACATTTCATAGTCGTCCAACACCAGCAAGCACTTGCTGGAACGCTGTGTTTTATTCTACACATAATAACTGTTTTGTTGTAATGCAAAACAGTTCTATTTTTTTTTTATCTACAATATTAAGAGTAATTTCCCTCCAGAGCCCCGATTACGGTAATTTTTAACGTCAACAATCCAGACACGCTTCTCGATTCTGCGATACGATTGGTCGTTCAACAGCGTACGTCAGCTGTTTTGACCAATCGTATCGCAGAATCAGAAACGCGTCTGAATTGTAGACGTTATAAAAGTTACCGTAATCGGGGCTCTGGTGGCATTACAAAAATTCCACCCTGTATTTTGACTTCACTTGTTAGTATGGGACAAATCTTGCAACTGAATTTACCCACTTGTTACTAGCGTTCTTTTAAAGGAACGCTAGTTTTTACATAAATATTTTTACTAATGTGGGTAGTATAAACAATTTTTATGTGCAACATTTGAAAGATGAGGTGTGTCGCAGTACTGTCCAAGTCTTATAAGTACACTGACGTAAATAACTATAAAGTTTTGGAGCGATTGTTTTGAGATAAATTTATCATGACTGATTTAAGATAAGTGATAGAAAAAGTGAACTCCGTAACAAGTGGGTTAAGACCAGTTCTCCTCAACCGATTGAGCTGCAATTTGGTATACTTATGTAAGTACGATGAAAATGCTATGTTGTGGTACCATTGAGCTGGTCTAATGATGGAGTCAGGAGGCGGCCATAGGAACTCCTAAATGAAACGGCGGAATCGCATCGAATTTGGGTTTGTTGGATTTGTCTTTTCGAGCACATTGGTGCTAAATTGTATTGTAATTGAACCAAGGCTCTGAGATTGAGATACTATAGACTAAGAGCTGATGAACGCCAGACCAACGTCATTTTATAAAAGCTGAAAGTTTGTCAGCGTATGCTCCCAATATAGGTTAGAATGTTGGTGGATTATGAAGTTTGGGTCATCTTGGCTTTGGCAGCTATCCTAAAAAAACTGCCTGGCAAGGAGTTGGAACTGTCAAAACTGTCTGGCTAAAAAGAGGAATAAATTCCATGCGCAATACTAACTTTCGAAATTATTTGAACCTTGCATACAATTATATTTTTCGTTTTATTATAATGTGTTAACGGATTAACGATTAACGTTAACTTGCGTTAAATCTTGCTAAATGTAACGTTTTAACGTTTAACGAAGTTAATTTTTTTATTAACGGTTTAACGATTAACGAAGTTAACTATTTGATTAACGGTGCCCAGCTATGGTTGTTACCAATGGATCCTACTTTAGGATATAATGCATTGAGAGTTAAGACTAGACATGTGGACCATCTAATTACTACTCATTTTGGGATATGTACGTGACATAATTTGCAGGCAACTATTTTAATCATGTGTGCTACAAGTAATGATTACTGGGTCCTATTTGTGANGAACGCTGTGTTTTATCCTACACATAATAACTGTTTTGTTGTAATGCAAAACAGTTCTATTATGGAGAGCCATGAGATGCCATATCATCACCTATTACGGCTCTGTGATCATCACGCTGAAGTCTGCTGAATAAACCCACTCAATTTGATGTAATATTTGAATTAATTATATGAAAATCTTCAAAATCTTCGCTTGTGTCACTTGTGTGATGGCCTCAAGCTCTAATCCATATCTGTGGCCTCAAGTCCTCAACTATCGTTATGCGATCAATAAAAACTAAATGTAGACTGTATGTCTTTGCTTTTTTTCTGTAAAAGAACAAAAAATGCCATCCGTCATCAAATGTCATCGATGTCATTTTCATTCGCTTTTTGCATTGCATTTTTTTTTCATTCATTCTTTGAAAATGCAAGTGTTTGGATTGCGTAGTGCAAGTTGCATAATGAGATTTTAATTAAAACAAATGATTATAGGAGAAGTTTCATGAAATGTCTACTTTACTTAGCGGCGAGGTTATACGTAGTTTAACTGCAAAAAGTAATACACCTTTAGTTTTTCGGGGTTTTGTTAATTGGCCTGTATGCCAATGGGATTCGGAGAAATGGTGCTCGGTGTTTGGCGACAAGGAAATACCTTTTCGATGTCTGAAAAGAGATTTCGTCTCCGACGAGCCCTGTTGGGAGAGGAAGTGCAAGTTGAAATCAATGACGTTCAAAACTTTCGTGGACAGTTTGGAAAGTAGTGATGAATGGATGTATTTTGACTACAAGTATCTCCATCAATGGTTTGGGGCTGATACTGAATTGAACAAGGTATGTAATTTTGTTCATTAACCTGGTAAAATTAGCAAATTATATTTAAGAATCCCTTCCATTGTTACAAATAGATAAGATGATTATTGTTAGGATTTGAATTTTTTTAAATAGGTAAAGTTAGTTAATTTCTTACATTTTAAGTTTCAGGTTTTGATTAGATAACAGTTCCTACTGTAATGTAATTTACATAACATTAACTTTATGCACAGTATTTATTACCTACAGTTTATTTAATATTTCAGAATATAATATTTTTTTATTCTTTTTAAAAACATTTATTAACATAGTACATACTTACAATATTCATCAACCTGAACTAATTTTCAGAAAATTTTTAGTCATCATTTCATACTACATAATTTATAATTGTTGACAGGCAGTTTCATGGAAAGACTTTGGGTACCCTGACAAAGGTGCTGCAGAAACTACACTGTGGGTAGGCAGCCGCGGAGCTCACACTCCGGCCCATCAGGATACGTATGGATTCAACATTGTAGCTCAACTTCATGGCATGTAAGGATTACATACCTACTCAAAATTTAATTTTTATCAGTCTCATATTGAATTGAACCCTTTGGTAAATACTCTGTTAGATTAATATTAAGATAGTACATGTGTACAGTGTTATTTGCTTTGTGTTGTTTTATGCTTGAGTAAATAGTTTGTTTCTTTCAGAAAACGATGGATATTGTTTCCCCCAGAAACTGGTGGATTAAAGCCTACAAGAGTGCCCTATGAAGAGTCCAGTGTTTACAGTGAATTAAACTTCTATTGCCCCAGTAATCTAGATGTTTTCAATGGTATGTAAAAATAAAGATAGTTTAGTTTAGAATGTAAATATCTCAATCTTAATGAATATAATAATTTATAATTAACTTTTAAAAAAAATAAAACCGACTTCAAATGCGTGAACACAAAAAAAAACTAAAAATTGAAAATATTGCGTATAAAAAAGTTCATCTCCAATTTTCCACCCTTGGGGGTGAAATATTTTCTTCAAATTCTCATGAAACCACCCTTTTGATAATACCTATTCAACAAAAAAATAATCGTTCAAATTGATTTATAATCGGCGGAGATATTGCGTATAAAAAAGTTCATCCCCAATTTTCNTTCTACACATAATAACTGTTTTGTTGTAATGCAAAACAGTTCTATTATTTATAGGGCTGCTGCCCATTATCACAAACTAGGTACCTATACCTACCAACATTTTAAAAATACTTCTTCTTTTCCAAACTCTGACGAATGTAATAAATTAAAGTATACTTACATTCGAATTTAAAATGCATGCACTCAAAGTCAACGTTGTAACGTTACCTACGGCTAACAAGCTAAATCCGTATCTCATTAGAAAATTACATAAATTATAGAAAAGTGTTTACTTTGTAAAAGTATTCGTTGAAGAATCAACCCTATGCTACCGTTGTGTAGTATTTTGGACAACTTCATATTTCTCGTCAAACACTTGGCTGTGCTTATGTTCGTTTTTACAATAACAAAAAATTCTCACAGCTCTTTCCTCTATAATTAACGCGATTCAGTTCTGACGAGAACATAATATATCTCTACCATCGGGCTAATGAAATAACTGACTTGAGACTTTTTCTCAGACACACCCGATGATGTTTTAGTCCGAGATTAAGTATCTAGCAGATAATAGGATTTAATTAGCTCATGCTCGCACAAGTCATTTATTTCACAGCTAAATCTGTACAACACAGTGTAAGGAAAACAAAAACGTAAATACATTATTGTAATAGCCGAGTTATACATAGAGCACGTAATAAAAACGATCATTAAACTCCGCCTCTACTATTACAGGCGTCTATTCCCGTCATAAACAGCGTGGCCGCCATCAAAGCTCCTATTGACGCACTAATAATGTGTTTATTGTATATGCAGCTAGACCATCGGAGCGCCCGGCCAGACGCATGCCAAAGTTTTTAGGCTAATATCATTTAGTGCCTATCCGAAAATAGTGGTCCATCGATCAATCAGCCCCGTCAATAGGCGACGGGCTTGCCAAGTGCCAAGACTTGGCTTGCCCATCCGGCAAATACGAGCACATCGATTCATTCTACTCATTCCGAACATTAAAATGCTTGCGATTGTAACGCTCGTAAGATACTATCATGTATCTCCGTTGCTATGCCACTTACACTACAATACACTCTCATAATGTCTGACAATGCTACTAGCTCCACTCGAGCTTAACGTATTCGATTATGGTAGTTTTCTTTGTAGAATACATTAATTTTGTATTGCTCCGGTAGACTGGTTGTCGTCTCACGATTTTGAATTGTTACGTTCTACGTTGTTATTTATTTTTTTCTCCGTCCTTTCCTAGCATTGTAACGTTTATAAATAGCTCATTCAAAAGGCGTTACATTGTATCTACCCATTTGGCTTGTCCTAAAAGTATTTGCAAGCATATTATCAGTAGTGACCTCGTGTGAACAGTTATTGTGTCTATTTAGATGCCATTGGTGAGTGGTACATGCGTAGGTCAGCGTGGTCCCGCCGGAATACAAAGTGCGGATCAGAGTGGCCGCGTGACTAAGCCGCAGGAATTGCCGACGATTGTATGCTAAACAGCCGAGTAGGTATTGCTATAGCATAGTAAAGGGTGTAGTAAGACAACTTCATCCCATTATAGCGTCTAAATTATGCAAGTTACTGCTCGCGGGGACGATAATGCTACACGAATTTTCTATAGTTTCGTTGCCTTTTTCCTTTTTCCTGAATCCACGTTTTTACATTGGCCATTACAACAAACCGTAGCGAGAAAAAAAGTAATTTCTGCGGTTGCATACAATGCCTTTGTGCACGCTCGATTTGAAATTCAGGCTCTACATAAATCAAATTTATTTAACTATTATTTTTACTGTGGCTTTAGCCTCTAAACGAGTCTCGAATCTACATCTATTCGTCTAGTGAATAGGTACACGGGTACAAAACAAGTGTACGCACAAACAACACACCAAATATTGTACATAGCCGGACTAGCTTACTATGATTACACGCATTACGTAAAGCGGAATCGAATTTTACTGATCTTTTGTTGGATAAGTTATCATAAAGTTCAACACGATTGTGCAAAAAATAATTTTACTAGCTTGAGTAAGAAACAAGTAAGATTATGTGTTTATACAATTTATTCTTTATTTTAGGAGTTGAATGTTTAATTTAACATAGGCAAAAAGTTTACTGGAATACAGAGATAGGTAAGTAACAATAAAGAATGGGCTTTAGAAAACTACATCCTCTCTAAATACCTAAGTCGAAGCGTTCAAAACACGTGAGTTAATTGTAAGCCTTAAATGAAAAACTCAGCCAAGGTTGAAAGAAAGTTAAAGAGTTACCTACTACGTCTCCATTCCTTATTATTGAAACAAACTTGTTAAATGACTCTTTTAAGTAACCAAATTGCGATTGCGTAATTGTGCCAGCTGGCGTTGTTTTGACAACAATGTTTAAGTTTATACGCGAAAAGTTCTCTCAATAATGAAAACATTGTTATCTGTATTCATGAAAATAACACTTCAATTGTTTATTAATAGTTTAGCGTTGGAAACTCACGTGTACGTGCTGCGACTGTTACAAATGCGGCAATAAAAAAGGAATAAAACATACGTTTAATCTTTACCTAAAGAATAAAACGATTACCTATGTCAGTTAAAACCATGATAGTATTTTGTAAAATCATAACGTTCTTCACTTGTTCAAACTTCTATGTACAGTAAAAACGAAGAAGACAGCGAGAGGTCACAGGAAAAAGAAAGAAAATATGGAAAAATACACAGATTTATACTTCGATATAATACAGGTTTCTTTCAAATATCTGAGACACATTGTTATCAAAAATTATCATGAACTTTCAGCTGTTTTTTGTTATGTTTTAATCACATGATGTTTTGTGTAGCCGCTTTAGGTATCGCAGTTCTGTTGCTATGTAGGTTAAAAGTAACAGAATATCTAGTAAAACAAACATAATTATCTGACCCGTCTGATGATCCATGTTCCTATGGCAAAAACTTATCACGACTATTTATAAATAAAATCTGTATTATTATTTACCCAATACCGTATTGTTTTGGAAGTAGATTTGTGTGATTTAAACCTTTTTATTTATTATGCCTCAGCTTTCATATTACTATGTACCTATTGAGTCGTTAAAAATTTAGAAAGACCGCGTTGACTTCCTGAAAACATGTTGACAAATAGTATTCTTATGTAAAATGCTAATGTATTGTTTAGGTAGAGTCGCCAGTTGCAGAATAGTACTTATTAAAACTATTTAAAATGCCTTCAGCTTGATCTGCCCGACATTCGTACATGCTTACTTCATCGAAGAGATAAAAAGTGCATAATATTTAATATCGTAGAAACATAGATGGATGGACATAATAGATTCTTTATGCGTATTGCATTTTAAAGTAATATCTGAGTGGTTTCGTCGAATCATACATATTGCAAGTGTAAAGTTATGTGCAATAATGATGACCTATTACTAATTTGTTATTAATAAACATATGCAATCACAAGATAGGTTTTTATATGTTTATGGACTTTATCAATTTCATTTACATGTCAGCCTCTTTAAGCCGACTGATAAATAATTCCTTGTATCAATTTGTATCTTAATTACTCATCGGTCACGTACACACAAGATTTTTAAAACCATCAAATCAAATATTTCATTAATCCACGGTTATGTCCTATTTAATACCTAACCAATATGTAATTTAATCAGATTTTTTCACTGTGTGGCATACACAATACATAAAGCAATTAAAATAAAAAAATCAAATAAACAAACGACACACACACGAAGACACATAATAAGACAAAGAAAAACAAAACAATAACTAATCTATGTTAAAAACAAAAGACAAAACTGTCATGGATGAAAAACTTCTTGATGTGAAAATATAGCTTAGAACTTTTTACTATGATATAAAAACCAAGGCACTGATTTCAGAGGCTACTTCTGTAGTTTGTCAATGTTCTTAGTTTACGATAATTACGAGTACACTCAATAGTTAAGCAGTATCTCTCTGTGAGTTCCATAACGGTATTTTCAAAATTCAATGCGCTAAGCTACCCTCAAATTTTAAAGTTAGCACTACCCACATAATTACATCACAATTTTTCAATACGAACGTGTATATCTTTATCTAGACATAGATAGATTCACTGCATGGGGCTCTATGTGCTCAGGATAAAAAATAGATCAAACAGTTACAGTTCAGCCAAATGACAAAAGTATAACAATTGAGAAGGTAAATAATAAATATTTGGGAGTGAGATCCGAAGGCGGATGCTCGTCACAATGCTCGTGGGTGAGGCCAGGGTTATCCATGATGCCATTTTCATTGGAACAATAAAAAACATAATCAAAATATTTAGTAAATTAGTTATTATTACTAGTTTACTGGTGGCTTAAAGTTGAAAGTTATCTGAAACACCAATACCTACTAGAAATACTACCTAAGTCATTTATAATTTATTCAAACTCTACTATTAATTATCTAAATTAGTTTTATCAAAGACTACCTTTTACTATGCCTTTCAATTATTATATCTATTTTAGATAAAGCTTTAAATGATAGGTATTGTATTGATAAATTAATTTGATAAGCAAATGCCTAATGCCAAATTTTTGCACGTGCCAACCCTGAAAGATTTGTTGACTGCTGCGCACGAGTCGTTCTACGAAGACCTCGGATGCGCAAGACACAAACGCCTGTTTTCAAAACTATACCTTTACTTACTATAACCATTCTCGGAAACATTCACCAATGAACCTTCAAAAGCAAATCAAGCTCTACATTTTTGTTGAAAAATCGCACTTATTACCTACTACATAAGATGCCACAGTGGTTAGCTTGATGTGCTGTGAGCTGAACATTCTGAATGGCCGTTACGACAATTTACAGAATCGTATTGTCAATGCAATGACGACAATTCGGAATCATAAACAGCTGTTGTTCTGATTACAGCAGTACTGTGTTGGTATCAATTAATGGGAGCCGTATGGTAGTCAATCGTCAACGCTTAGGTAGATCATGGGTAATTGATATAGGTTATATTTTATGTGTAATAATGTTAGGTAGATAAGCCCAAGGTATTTAAAATATTTGTATGAGATCATGAAACCATAATTTCCGTTTATTCTCTCAGCCACTAAAATACCTAAAGATTAGGTACATATTTGAACAACATTTTAATTGGAATCCACTTGCTATCTTGTTAAATCTTTTTCTCTTTTTAATAAAACGTCCGTCTTCAAGGAAAGAACTAAGAATAAAACAGATTTTAAGTACCATGAAACTTTTTACTTTGCCTTTTTGTTAAAAGACATCCATTGATGCTCCGACCTCAAATTCACTGAGCACGGCGTGACGGCACCAAGTAAAAAGCCGTGTTTCTTTTCCAAAAACATTTACATAGCAGGTGAATTTAGGTCAAACGTACGCAGATAGGAAATCTAAATGGTCGGTTTATGCGTCTAACTCGTATTATCGGCAAACGTCTGGCGGTTCGCGTCCTTGTAGCGATAGATTATTCGGGCCTAGTGCTGGCTGGTGGTAAGGCACCGTAAAATTAATAGGCAGCATTGAACTTGAACGGAGTGCGTGCGCGGGTGACGTCACCGCGACTCGGGCGCCCCTACCGGCCGCCGGCGCAAACCGACAAGGCCGCCACATAATGCCCAGCAACATCACCTTTACAACCTAAAATATGCTATCAAAAACGACGAACGGACGATACAATTCTTGGAATAATCGAGCGAGAGCGAATGTAAAACCTACGTTGTGTAAAATGATACGAGGAAAATGAAGCATCTCTACATGAAAACGCTAACAGCTGGTAGAATAATAATAAGTTATGTCCATTGAGTCACATCACTAAATAATATCTGAGAGAGGAAAACGTTTAATGTTATTTC